TTCATGAAATTTTTTGCAAATGAAAATATGATATATTTGGAAGAGTTTGCCTATTTTCCATTTCTAAGTGTAATTTTTTAGGTGTAGTAATTTTATTTCTAAAGAAAAAAGAATGTACCATTTCCTTATTACATTCTTTACCAAATTTTCAATAAAGGTCTTGTTTCTTCCTGGGGGCTTTTTCGGATGTAAGACATCTCCAATAACTGTATCTTTTTTAATAATATTATACCCTGTCCATTTAGATAATCCAATGTAGGTGGCCCATTTAGTGGATATTTTCTCTACAGAAATTAAAACAATGTTTTTTCGAAGATTACAAGTACATTAGGTATGATATTTTCTTCTTCTAAAGATAGTGTTTTATGCCCAATAGGTCGTTTACGCGTACTTGTGCATGCAATATTTTCTAATACCTCGCCATTCTTATATAACTGTAAAATTACAATATAAACTAATACAAAATTCCGAATCAATTAAAATACATACGATATGCGATACGGCTATGAATAAATAGAATCTCACTTATCTGTCAAAAGAAAAGATTTATACAGTAAAAACAATGTAAACATGATTAAATCTAAATGAAAAATTTTATTGGGCCGATCAGATATATTACAAATTTCATTTTAAATACAAATAAGCATTGAAGGATAAGGTATAAATAAAATGTCTACCTCTTAAATCTATACTACGTTCTGTAAATTAAATTACTGCACTCGTATCTTCTCTAGACTATAGCCGATTTAAGAACCAAGAATGCAGCAAAGCAAGTACTTTTTGGACCTGGTGCGTCCACACTGGACTAACAATATCGGTCGCGACAGGAATTCTGAATGTTGTGCGAACAAGCATATCTACTATGACTGCTCAATGCTCCCATTTATTACGAGATTTGTATTCGGGTAGTATTAGCTAATACCGTCCATTATAAGATGGGCGCTTTTTGATAACGTTGTCATCTACATTAAATCTTTAGGCTGGCTGTAAAGTTTTTGAAGCAACTCACTCTCCACCTTGCATGTTGAAGTCTATTATTTACACGGGCAAAAAATTTTATTTTATCAAAAATAACCTGTACTGTAATTTTAAATAATTGAAGCGACGTTACTTTAGCGTTATATTAATTTGGAAAATATTCACATGCTAAAGTAAAAATTGAAATTCCAGTTTAAGTAGTTTGTGGTTCACCCTGTAACTTATAATAAAGTAGGTTAAACTTTTTGATATCACTAAATTAAAGCACTCTGGTAAGAAGTATATCATCTTTATAACATGTTCGTCATCAACAGCCGTAAGAGACGAACGAGTAAAACATCAAAAATTACCAATTCTTTATATGAAAAGTCCGCGCTTACCTACTGTTTATTTTAAATTCTTCATATTCGCTCCGTGCGCGACAGCAGCGCGAATTCACTTTTGTACTAATGGACTATTTTTGCCTATACTGACAATACAATTTTTAATAGAATTCGTAATTAAAAAGTATATATGTTCTATCTGTCTGAATTAGGGCGTGGTTGAAAGTCCACTTGTACTGAAATTCTAGGCTTATTGTACCCGTCACAGTTTCTATCCCAGAAGATTGATTTTCTTGATGAATTCAGGAATATGTCTGATGGGCGCTTTCTCGATTTCTTCAGGTTCCGGATATTGTAGAGGGGCCATCCACGAGCAGACAACATCAACTGCTATACCTTAGCAGGAGCAAACTCAAGGCCGTAATAGGACTCCTTTCGGGACACTGCGGCCTTAGAAGACACCTAAATCTCTTAGGGATATTTTATGACTCCCTATGTAGAATATGTGAAGAGGAGGACGAAACTCCTATTCACATACTATGCTACTGTCGGAACGTTAAATGGCAATATGAATGGTACTTCGGGATACAAGTATATATGTTAGTTTTAATAAAAGTATATGGGTTTGCAAAACAAGTAAAACATTAATTTATTATTATAATATATCTTTATCGCTTAAACTAAAAAAAATTAAGTATATTTAATAAAAATCAATGATAAAATAAAGGCAGGCAACAGTATTTACGGGAAAATGTATAAGAAGTTGCCTAAGTCTAATAAGTTGTCTTTAAAAAATTAACCTATTCTGTCAAAATAAAAAAATATCTTTAAATAATTAGCGTGAAGTTAAAATGTATATACAGAAGGATTGTTATTTATATTTTTAATTTTGTTCAAAAGAAAACATAGAATGAATGATTAAAACTGGTTTTCTATCAGTTAGTCATAAAATTGGATTCCAGCCATACACAATAATCAAAGGCAGAAATATAGTTCTTGCTGCATGAACATTTAAGATGAAAGGGATGTTGAAGAACATCGTGAAATGATATTTATTGTTTATTAGAAACCTTTGAAGTTTCTGATATCTACTATTTCCAGTATTACTGTTATTGTTACAAAAATAAAAGTAATTTTTCTTCTTATTGTACACATATCCATCTATTTCTTTGATTTAATTTTCACTTTGCTACTGATTTTTTTTATAATTTAGACTGTTTTTTTTGCTAGTATTTTTACAATTTTCAACAAAGCAACTCCGGTTGCATATTGTATTATTTTTACCTACTTTTTGAAAAAAAAAAGTAAAATGTATACATATATTTGATATGCTAAAATTACAAAATATCGCCCTAAAATGCACGAATTATCCGCAGCTAGCGCTAGTATCGTTTTTGCTTCCCCTATCATGACTTCGCACTGAGCGAATAGAGGCGATTCTAAAAATGTGTAACATGGTGGTATGAGGATAAAAGTTGATATGATCTTTTTTATTTTTAACACCCTTCGGACCCCCCATGATATTACCCCAATCCATCTGTAGCATGGCGGCACTGCAGCCTGCGGCTTACTGTACCATTATTAGAGGGTTCTACTAATTTCTCATTCACCAATTCACTCTCTCATTCACCGTCATTCATTCCACGTCGTCGATTATTAAACCCTAGTCGGCTAGCTCTCATGGTAAAACGTCTCAGTGCTCACTCATCGACGACATGACTGGAGATATCACAGCTTACCTGTAGCGAGAATGTGGATGCACACTAACCTCGTAGCTAGCCTCGCCGGCTTTTTAAGAGCTACTAAAGGCGTTTTCGGAAACTTACTCGGATCAGAAATATTATTATGAATCCTATAGTTCGTTTGCCTATTCGTGTTCGGAATCTAGTAGATTACTGACACAGTTTTGTGATCGAGATTAGTAATAGATCCGCATGCGCATTCCACAAAAGTATAATGCAATTTTTTTTATTCCTCGTATCTGACAGTAGTCGTTTTGAAGTTTCTTCTAACTTAAAATGGGATTTATGCAAGAGAATGACATTATGGTCTAGATGCGAATTTATTAGTCAAACTACAAATAATGTTAAAAATACAAATATTTTAAATAAAATAGTTCTTAAACAAATAATTATGTGCTGTCAAAAATTGACAAACGTAGACAAACGAACAATATTCCAACTCGTTCGTAAAATGTATGCACTAAGTTCTTTATCGGGTTAACAAAGTAATCTGAATTTTTAAACTATGGTAGTTTTTTGAAAACGCCTATATAGGTAATAATCATATTTGAAATGTGTTTAAGCATAGGTAACTTTTTTCGAATGAAAGCTCACTTCCCCAATATTATAAAATGTTTATCTCGACGAGAAAAATATTTCCTGAATTTCTACATGGTAATCCCCACAGAAAGCAAAATTCTATAGTGTAGTGGAAACTTAAAACTCATCCGTTCAAGTGCACCTTTAATCCTGTCTCGAATGTTTGGTCAAAGAGTAGTTTCGAAGTCAGAAAGAATTGTACATTCGGTTTAGTTAGAAATCCTCTCTTACTCGTATCCGTCCAACTGCATTTTCGAGAACCATAGATATAAATGCGATTGTTTACCTCTATCTGAATCCCCGAATATTCCTACACCAAGTTAACTCTTCAGACTATTTGAATGTATTTTAAAGTCGTCTATGATTTCGTTCAGCAGCAGTTACACATGCTTTGCTGGACTTTATTTTAAACGAGACTTAACGTTAACGAGTGGGACTACAAAATGACAAAGTTTTAAATATAATAATTGTTGGAAAGCAATTAAGATAAAAATGTTGATGAACATTTTTTGGACACAATATTTGGCAATTTCTACAAAACATTGCGCCAATTTTTAACCGACTTCAAAAAAGGAGGAGGTTATCAATTCGTCGCGATATTTTTTTTTTTTTTTTTTTATGTATGTTCAGCGATAATTCTTTAACACGGTGTCCGATTTCAATAATTCTTTTTTTGTTAGAAAGGGGCTACTTCAGGGGTGGTCCCATATAAATTTGGTCAAAATCTAAAAATTGGGTCCATGAGAAAATCCTCAAACTCTTCATTTTTTATGTATGTTCTTAGCGATAATGCTTTACTACCTTGTCCGATTTATATGATTCTTTTTTTGTTAGAAAGGGGGTACCTCAGGGGTGATCCCATATGAATTTGGTTAAGATGTTGTGATGGCATCTGCACGTTTTTGAAGTCGGTTTTTTTAAATTTTTAATTTACACTTGTTAACTAGAATCTATTAACTCTATAACGTAGAAAAGTTTTAGTAAGTTTGTATAACCATAACAATTACTTGTATTTAGAGGTTTTTGTTTTTATTTTAATAGTTTTTTTTTGAATAAAAATGTTACTAAAGATACAAATGAAGATATAAAGATGTTAATATGTAAATAAAGATGTAAGAAATATAAATAAAGATATAAATTAAGATGTAAATACAGATGTAAATATAGTAAATAAAGATGTAAATAAGGAGGTAAAAAGAAATAGAGAGATGTAAATACAGATGTATATAAAAATGCATATAAAGATGTACATAAAGATGTAAATAAAGATATAAATAAAATTGTAAATAAAGATGTTATTAAAGATGTAAATAAAGATATAAAGTAAGATGCAAATAAAAATGTAAATAAAGATGTAAATTAAAGATTTAAATTAAAGGTGTAAATAAAGATGTAAATAAAGATGTAAATAAAGATGTAAATAAAGATGTAAATAAAGATGTAAATAAAGATGTAAATAAAGATGTAAATAAAGATGTAAATAAAGATGTAAATAAAGACGTAAATAAAGATGTAAATAAAGATGTAAATAAAGATGTAAATAAAGATGTAAATAAAGATGTAAATAAAGATGTAAATAAAGATGTAAATAAAGATGTAAATAAAGATGTAAATAAAGATGTAAATAAAGATGTAAATAAAGATGTAAATAAAGATGTAAATAAAGATGTAAATAAAGATGTAAATAAAGATGTAAATAAAGATGTAAATAAAGATGTAAATAAAGATATAAATAAAGATGTAAATAAAGATGTAAATAAAGATGTAAATAAAGATATAAATAAAGATGTAAATAAATATATAAAGATGTAAATAAAGATGTAAATAAATATGTAAATAAAGATGTTAATAAAGATATATAATAAAAATTGTAAATAAAGGTGTTAACTAAAGATGTAATAGATGTTAATAAAAATGTAAATGAAGATGTAAATAAAGATGTGAATAAAGATATGAATAAAGATATGAATAAAGATGTGAATAAAGATGTGAATAAAGATTTAAATAAAAATGTAAGTAAAGATGTGAATAAAGATGTTGATAAAGATGTGAATAAAGACGTTGATAAAGATGTAAATAAAGATGTAAATAAAGATGTAAATAAAGATGTAAATAAAGATGTAAATAAAGATGTAAATAAAGATGTAAATAAAGATGTAAATAAAGATGTAAATAAAGATGTAAATGAAAATATAAATAAAGAAGTAAATAAAAATTGTAAATAAAGGTCTTAAATTAAGATGTAATAGATGTAGATAAAAACGTAAAAAATGTAAATAAAAATGTAAATAAAAATGTAAATAAAAATGTAAATAAAAATGTAAATAAAAATGTAAATAAAAATGTAAATAAAAATGTAAATAAAAATGTAAATAAAAATGTAAATAAAAATGTAAAAAAAATTGTAAATAAAAATGTAAATAAAAATGTAAATAAAAATGTAAATAAAAATGTAAATAAAAATGTAAATAAAAATGTAAATAAAAATGTAAATAAAAATGTAAATAAAAATGTAAATAAAAATGTAAATAAAAATGTAAATAAAAATGTATATAAAAATGTAAATAAAAATGTAAATAAAAATGTAAATAAAAATGTAAATAAAAATGTAAATAAAAATGTAAATAAAAATGTAAATAAAAATGTAAATAAAAATGTAAATAAAAATGTAAATAAAAATGTAAATAAAAATGTAAATAAAAATGTAAATAAAAATGTAAATAAAAATGTAAATAAAAATGTAAATAAAAATGTAAATAAAAATTTAAATAAAAATGTAAATAAAAATGTAAATAAAAATGTAAATAAAAATGTAAATAAAAATGTAAATAAAAATGTAAATAAAAATGTAAATAAAAATGTAAATAAAAATGTAAATAAAAATGTAAATAAAAATGTAAATAAAAATGTAAATACTGATGTAAATAAAGATATATGTAATTGTTAAAATATTATAGTAAATTTTAATCAAGAAATGTTAAAATGCAGTTAATTAGCTAAACCAGAGAGACTTACTTATTTAACTTTTATTTCGTTAAAACTGAGCTTGTCGTTACTTTTTATTTTTTTCGCAAAATGTGTTGCACTTTACATTTTCTAGTTTATTAGCCGAAGATTGACTAACCAACGCTAGATATATATTCCATAGCTCAGTTGTTTTGTATTGATTGGGAATTAATCAACCATTTTACGAGCAAATTAACATGGATGTGTTTAATTTGTTCTTCTAATTTAGATATATTCCTTTAAAAGTAATGTTCATAATGATTATAGTATTAACTTTGTTTCATGATAATTTTGGTTCCTACAGTTTTTTGAATCACTCTTTAGTACCTGTCTATAGTATTTTGTGCCGCTAATGTTTGTCTCTAACCTGTACAGCCCAAATAAACGACTCCTTAAATAACCTTTCCGATGTCAAGTCGTTGAGATCATTCATTGTATTCCGAAGCTAAGGAATGTGTTAGTGTTTCGTTGTGTAAAATTAATCATTTTGTCAGGAAAATTTCAACGTTCTTCGGCAGTTCATGCATTTTTTGTGTCAAACGGAAAATTTGAGAATGGTAATTATAATTTTCTACCCTGTGATAAACTAGATATAATAATACTATACTATTTTTTGGGAATGTAACATTTTGGTTCTTAAAATACAGGTCGTTAGTGATATCAACCGTAAAATTTGAACAATAGTAATAAATAAAGCAAAATATGTCTAAAATGCCATATATATGGGTACTTAACTCTAAAGTTAAGGAACATAAATTCAAATTCTCAAATGTAAAAAGATAAAAGATAAAAAATATAGAAAACTCTAAGTCTGTGTCACAGACACATCGAACGACCGTTTCCGTTATGAAAACAACTACATATTTGGCTAATATCACAAAGAAAATAGAAAAAGAAAATCATTTTTAACGCTTTATCTTTGATTTTGCTTACTAAGGACAGTTTTCAGACGATATCTTGAAAATTAAATATATTTATATTTTCTAAAGATCTATTATTTTTTGTAGTATGTATATTAATAGTTTTTATTTATATTTCTAGAATTATTTTTCATTTAACTTATCCGGATATCTTCTGTTTAGATATTAAGATCAATTAACTTCATGTCGGGTTATTTCTATCACCTTTTGCAGATAATACATATTAGGGTCAATAACATACAATAATCTATTATTATTAAATTTAAATATAAAACGTTATAATGAGGCAAAAAAAACAAAGATTAATTACGTGAACATCTGGTTCAAAAATATACATGTAATATCGGTCTTATATATTTTTATTTCAATTAATTTGATTTAAATTATTATTCCAGAAAGCACTGCATTCTGAAACTAATAAAAAAATTAATTGGAGGAGCTTAATTAAATAAATAACAAGTTTGCGTAATTGCCCCTTTGAGAAAAGTTTCGAAAACCTATTGTCGTTTATAGCAAGAATTTATCAAAACCAATTTATTGCCATTTTAAAAATGTAATATTAAAGGCTTCTATAAATTCAAAATTTACAAGTTTGAAACCTCTTGCATTTTTAATATGTTAGATAAAAATGTAGACTCTCCATGGTTCATCACCCTTGATTATATTTACGGAGAACAGGGCAAAAACGGGTTTTCAATTAGTCCATAACATTTTAAATTTTAATTAATTATTAAATTTGAAATTTTAATTTATTAAATATTTTTAAAATTTAACTAGTATCAGTAATATTTTGTATGGAAATAGTGATGGTGTACGCATAAAATTTTGCTACATCAATAATTTAAAATTTAGTATAATTTAATATTTATAAATCATAAAACAAATGTGTTGTTAAAAAACATATAACATGTTATAAATAAATAATTGAAAACGGAAACGGTAAAAAAGTCAAAATGTACAGGTTTTCCCATTTAAAATACTTTTTATATTTTATTTCCTTCCCCTAAACAAAATAGGCATATCACTGAAGAGCCCACAGCGTGTTAAATTGTCTCTTACAAGTTGGATAATTTTGGGACTGGCACGAATCATATTAAAACCATTAATATCGTCAATATAGATAACCACGATTACATATTTAATGTTTATAGTATTAAAAAAATTATACAAAATAAAATTGAATAGGCATTTACTAACACACTAATATGATTGTTAACAAGTTAACAATTTTGTAATTATCGTTGATAAAACGAATCTACAACGTGACTGGTCTGTTGGCTCTACCATTCCATTAAAATAGGAAAAAAAAAACATATATATAGAAGTCTTTAAAAACATCTAGTTTCTTGTATTTTACAGTTCGACATACCACTTTACTGTTACTTTGTACCTATTTTGTACCTTATTTTATAAGTCTCTACATATTAAATACCACAAATGACCAAGATGGTCGAAGCAGAAAATAATAATAATAAATTAAAATTTTTTTTTACCAATTAAGTTAAAAATAAATGTATCAAAAAAATGCAATATTTATACGTGTTTTTTAACAATTTTTTTTTAAAATAGTTCCTATTGAGCGCCATTTCATAATAAGATGGACAATTTGTGATCATGCACAACTTTGACTTAAATCGCTTCATAAATAAAAGAGATATTTACGTGGCCTTGGTATCATTATTACCCAGTATGAAGTATTATCTTATGAATTAATTATTTCTATTTACAGCCGGTTGCAAAACGATTGTTAATATCTCTCATTAGCTAATGAACCCATAACTTTATTCACTCCCCAAATTATCTTTTAAATGGTAAATTTGGCAACGCGCTTTTCCATATGACAGTATGAAGTAAAGTGTGTCGATATTCGAGATACGTTCCTATCAAGAGTTTTCTCTGTCTTTGTCGGCCCATTTAAGAGAACACTCGGCAGGTGAAGACGAAAGATAAATTTGTCATAGGGAATGTCGCTTCGCATTACAACGCCTGCAAAGAAAGTCAAAATCGACAAGAGTCGAAAGCGTCGAGACTAGACGAACTTTCAACATGAAAATTGTTTACAAAATATACTTATACCTATTTGAAAGTACGTAAATAAAACGAATTTTAAGAAGATTTAATAATTTGAATAGTCTAGGGAAGTTAGGAAAAATAGCGGAAATTTTTAGGGACAGCAAATATCGAGATGCGGTTTTCTGCATGGTGTTCAGAAAGTTCCCAGGAAAAAAGTCTATATCGTCTGGTTTAGCATTTTTTTGAAAAATGTTTTCTGGGCCCGAAAATGCATTTTTCAATTGCATCATTACTTGCACCATTATGGGAACGACTGGAAACTCGAAAAAATCGCTCGGAAAGCATTACTCGGGAGAGTTTCGGGGCTGCCGAACTTGATTCTGGCAGTAGAATTACCCAGGGGTGCATGGGGGTGGCTCTATGGAGGTGCGCGGGGGTGAATTGGGGAGAAATGGCAGCGTGCATGAAAATCGCTAAAAACTCGTTACTTGGAGGTTTTCGGGGATGCCAAATTCAATTCTGGCATTGGAATTACCCGTGGGCGGCTCTGTGGAGGTATCCGGTGGGTCATTCTGGGAGGGAAATTGTATAGTCCATGGAAAGCGCTCCAAACTCGTTAGTCGGGGGGTTTTCGGGGATGCCGAATTCAATTCTAGCATTAGATTTCCCCGGGGGCGCTCAAGGGTGGCTCTGTGGGGTTGTCTGGGGGTGATTGGGAGGGAAATGGCAGCGTCCATGAAAATCACTCCAAAATCGTTACTCGGGGGTTTTCGGGGATGTCGAATTTAATTCTGGCATTAGACTTCCCCTAGGGCGCTCGGGGTGGCTCTGTAAGAAAGGAGAAAGTGAAAAATCAATAATTATAAAAATAATAATTTATTTAAAAAACAAATAGGAATTTTTATTAATTTTGAATTATTCATTATAAATTTAAATTTTTAACTTAACCCTTTCGTCCCTGAATATGAAAAAATAAAATTGAAAGTTAAATTTACGGTTAATTTGTTGAATTTTTGTCAACTAACTACACTTCACTATCAAAAATAATTTTTTTCGACAGGGCAGGGGGGGAGGAGACGGTACATATGTGTACCATCAGGTTTTTAACTTGGTACAAATATGTACCACCAGTTACCAAATCATAGAAACAAAAAATATTCATTTATTGAACAAAATTAAAATGGTTTACAGATTTGCGGTATTACAGAATAAAATCTTTGTTAGTACAACATAAAAACAACTCAAGTAAAAAAAACAAATAGACA